GAAGTGTCTGGGCATTGATGGTAACTACTGTGAACACTTCTTGTGATTGCAGAAGTCATATGTGACTTTTATTCATCTTTTATTATCAGTATATATTGAATATTACAATTTTAATACAGTTTTATCCTTTTTAAAAATGTATATACTTTTTGGCACCCTCTGTATATAGTAATAGCTATCATTTATTTTAAGCATATTTGTGTGCAAGATGTACATATTATCTAGCTTACCTTTTACTCTTGTGCAATTGCTTTGTTCTTTTTTACGTATTTCTTTTTTTTTTTTGAGTTGGAGTCTCACTCTGTTGCCCAGACCTGCTGGGCTCCGGCGATCCTTCCGCCTCAGCCTTCCAAGTAGCTGGAATTACAGGCATGCGCTACCACGCGGCTGATTTTTTGATTTATTGTAGAGATGAGGTCTTGCTGCCCAGGCGGGTCTCGAACCCGCGGGCTCAGGCAATCCACTCACCTCAGCCTCCCAAAGGCGCAGGATTACAGGCTGAGCCACCAAGCCTGGCCCAACTGACTGTTTTAATAGCTTCAATCTGTTGCCTATTAATTGGGTACTTATGCTACTTAATGATATGAAAAGGAGGTATTATGAATGCTGTGACTAAATATTAGGTGAAACTTCAATTTACCTAATGATTTAAAGCAGAATTAGCTGTTCTTTTCTGCCCTCAGAGAGAAGGCACTTTAGCAGAGCAATAATGGCATAGGTTTATATTCGACTCTACCATTCATACTGTGAACTCAGTTTACTTAAGGTTATTGAGAAGGTGAAATGAAATGTGTATATGTGAAACACTCACCAAATGCCTGGCTATAGGAAGTGTTCAAGATATTGATGAAGCCGGGCTCAGTGGCTCAGCCTGTAATCCCGCACCTTTGGAAGGCTGAGGTGAGTGAATTGCCTGAGCCCGTGGGTTCGAGACCCGCCTGGGCAACTTGGCGAGACCTATCTCCACAATAAATAAAAAATTAGCCGGTAGCGCATGCCTGTAGTTCCAGCTACTAGGAAGGCTGAGGTGGATGGATCATCGAAGCCCAACAGGTCGAGGTTGCGGTGGCCTGGAGCGGCCACTGCACTCCAGTCTGGGCAACAGAGTGAGACTCCAATTCAAAAAAAGAAAGAAAGAAAGACCCTTACTCCTTATCCTTTTTTTTTTGTTTTTTGAGTTGGAGTCTCACTCTGTCACCTGGGCTGGAGCGCAGTGGCACATTCATGGCCACCGCAGCCTCGACCTACTGGGCTCATGCGATCTTTCCACCTCAGCCTTCTAGGTCACTGGAACTGCAGGCACGAGTCACCACGCCTGGCTAATTTTTTGATTTATTGTGGAGACAAGGTCTCGCTAAGTGGGTTGAGCCACAGCGCCCAGCCTTTTTTTTTTTTAAATACCACTCAACAACTGGGAAGGCAACATGAAATTAAGATGCCCAAAGTATAAAACTTTTTTTTTGTAGTTGGGGTCTCACTCTGTTGCCCAGGCTGGAGTAAAAGTGGCACAATCATGGCTCACTGCAGCCTCAACCTCCTGGGCTCAGGTGATCCTTCTGCCTCAGCCTCCCAAGTAGGCAGGACTACAGGTGTGCACCATCATACCCAAGTTATTTTTAATTTTTTTTGGTAGAGAGGAGGCCTCGCTATGATGCCCAGGCTTGAGCAATCCTCCCATCTCAATCTCCCGAAGTGCTGGGATTAAGGGCATGAACCACCACACCCAGCCTATAATTTATTTGAAGTTGAATAGTTGATAAAGCACTGTGCTCGATATTAACACGTTTGACCTTCACAAGAATCCTGTAGGGTGTCAATAATATTCTAATTTTACAAATTAGGAAACAAGTCAGACAAGTGAAGTACATATACATGAGGGATCAGGTGTGACCACTTCCAAATACTGGGTTCTCTCCCTATCAAATGAAATGTTGGCCAATTTAGCAGGTTTCAACTACCCAGGTTTTTTATTTTTATTTTTTAATAGGATGGATAAGAAATAGTAGAGTTAGAGCACCAGTGTGTAAAAGTCAACATATATGAAAGCCAACACATACACATATACTAAGGCAACATGTAAAATGTAATTTCTGGCCAGGCATGGTGACTCACACCTGTAATCTCAGCACTTTGGGAGGCTGAGGTAGGAGAATTGCTTGAGCCCAGGAGTTCAAGACCAGGCTGGGCAACATAGCAAGCCCTCATCTCTGCAAAAAAAAAAAAAAAAAAAGAATGCTAGCCAGGCATGGTGCACACCTGAAGTACCAGTTATTTGGGAGACTGAAGTGGATCCCTTGAGCCCAGGAGGGCGAGGCTGCTGCACTGCACTCCAGCCCTGGGTGACAGAGACCCTGTCTCAATAAAAATAAAAAAACGTAATTTCTTCTTGTAGATGTTGAGCAAAAAAAGTTTGACAAACACTGACCATGAGTCCAGTTCCAGTTACACTTTTCTTCACTGTGGAAACTTTAAAGTCAATCTTACTGAATATTCACTTATTAAATAGGGGTATAAATACATCCCTGCACTACTTTTCCTCTCTACTTCCTGGGGGGGGTGGCTTTTGGAAAGCAAAGGTGATGATCTATGTGTAAAAATACTTTGGAAACTAATTTTTTTTTTTTTTGAGTTGGAGCCTCACTCTGTGTCACCCAGGCTGTGGTGCAGTAGTACTCTCACAGCCACTGCAGCCTTGACCTGCTGGGCTCAGATGATCCTTCTGCCTCAGCCTCCCAAGTAGCTGGAATCACAGGTGCATGCCACCATGCCTGGCTAATGTTTTGATTTATTATAGAGATGGGGTCTTGACAAGTTGTTCAGGCTGGTCTTGAACCCCTGGGCTCAGGCAATCCTCTCATCTTGGCCTCCCAAAGTCCTGGGATTATAGGCCAGTGCACCTGGCCTAAATTTTCTACCCAAGGGAACTTTTGTAAACTTGCTTTGGAGGCTAAGCAACACAGTGCTAGATGATATTTAGAATTAAAAGAATGTATCCCTCCGTCCCCTGTAATGATATGGGCCGCATAAGTAGGAGGGAGAAGTGAGCATGGACTATTTGTGATCTTCAATGTTTGTGATCTTCCTGGTTTTTAAGTATAAAGGTTGACCATTCGTCATCACACAACAAAAATCTCTTCCCAAGTACTGGAGTGTTTTGCACAAAGCCCAAAATAAATTACTGTCAAGAACTGGATTTTTAAAAAATGCACGTGACAATTATTAAGCTCTTACTGCACACCTGAAGGACCCAGTTAGGTCTTTTCTTTCAGGAACTAATCTCCAGAATTTAAAAAAATCACCAGTTAACATATATTGAATACTCAAATATATAGGTTACTAAACCCAACTTTACATAGGCAATCTTTAGAAGTGGTTTTCTTTCTGTTTTAGTATTCATTCCGGAAGCAGTGATTTATTCACGGAGATAAAGACACAATTTAAAAAAAATTTTTCTTTATCTTTAATTAATTAATTAATTTAGAGTTGGAGTCTCACTCCGTCGCCCAGGCTGGAGTGCGGTGGCACGTTCACGGCCACCCCAGGGTCGACCTGCTGGGCTCCAGCGATCCTCCCGCCTCAGCCTTCCAAGTAGCTAGAACTACAGGCGCACACTACCACGCCCGGCTAATATTTTTATTTTATTGTAGAGACGAGGTCTCGCCAAGCTGCTTGGGCTAGCGTCGAACCGGCGGGCCCAGGCAATTCACTCGCCTCAGCCTCCCAAAGTGCTGGGATTACAGGCTGAGCCACGGAGACCGGCCTATTTATTTATTTTTTATAGAGACCCCACTATATTCCCCTGGCTGGTATCAAACTCCCGGTCTCAAGGTGTCCTCCTGGCTTGGCCTTTCAAAAGTGTTGGGATTACAGGCGTGACCCCCTGTGTTCAAGTCAGACACAATCACGAAAGTGCAATATATGAAAGTGTTTTGTTTTTTTTTAAAAATTCTAATAGGTTACGTGAAAAAATGGTCATTAAAATATACTACTCCTTGAGAAAACCCTCTAACACAATAAGAATTTTTCTTGGGACTTGATTATCCCTGTCCTCTTAATTAAAAGTACAAAAATTTCCTCTAGCCTCCAGGATTCATGTTTGGTTCAAACCAGAATGTCATGCAGGGTCCCTTCTCCGCGGGCAGCAGAACAATTGGCCTTTAAGACAGGAATATACATTTGCATGTCCTATCTGGTGAAAAGCAAACTCCAACCTCGAAATCAGCTCCTGGACTTCGGACCTCGTCAGTTGCCCTGGTAAGAGACAGGAATTTATCTAATTCATTCATTTTCTTATTTATTTATTTATTTTTTAATTTTTTTGAGTTGGAGTCTCACTCGGTCGCCCAGACCGGAGTGCAGTGGCCGCTTCCGGTCACTGCAGCCTCGCCTGCAGGGCTCCAGCGATCCTTCCGCCTCAGCCTTCCGAGTAGCCGGAATTACAGGCATGCGCTACCACGCCCGGCTAATTTTTTTGATTTTATTGTAGAGATGAGGTCTCGCTGCCCAGGCGGGTCTCGAACCCGCGGGCTCAGGCAATCCACTCACCTCAGCCTCCCAAAGGCGCGGGATTACAGGCTGAGCCACCGAGCCCGGCTTTTTTATTATTTTATGGAGACGAGGACTCTCTATGTTACCCGAACTGGTCTCGAACTCGGGCTCAGGCGATCGTCCGGCGTCGATCTTCCAAAGTGCTGGGATTGCAGGCGCGAGCTATCGCGCCGGCCCACTGATGCAACTGATCCTCAAGGCCGGTCCAAGGCCGGCTCCCGAGACTCGGGGAAGTGATCGCTGCCGCACACCCCACGGGGGCCGCGCTAGGGAGGGCTGGGAAGCCGGCCCGGTCGGTACTTGGTCCCACCCAGCGCTCAGCAAGCGAGCTGTCGCCCCGCACCGCAGTCTCAGCCAATTGCAAAAGCCCTCGCCAAGCCCGGCCCAGCGGAAGGAACGTTCCGAGTTGTTTGTTTGACGCTGATAAGGGAGGTCTCCCTTGCTCTCGCTGCTACTCTTTCTGGTGCTCGACCCAGCAACCCCCCAGACGCAATTCAGAGAGACTGGGGAGAGAGAACACGCCCAAAGCTCCCAGCCACACACACACAAAAGGATGAAATTCCTTCTGGACTGCCTCCTGCTTCTGCTCTTACTGATCGTCTTCTCCTTGGAGTCTTTCGTGAAGCTCTTTATTCCTAAGAAGAGAAAATCAGTTACGGGCGAAATCGTCCTGATCACAGGATCCGGGCACGGAATTGGGAGACTGACTGCCTATGAATTTGCCAAACGTAAAAGCAAACTGGTTCTCTGGGATATCAATAAGGTAACAGTGCTTACTACGTTTTACTTTCTGGTGCCTTTAGTCTGCGGACACATCTGCATTTTACCGGCAACCACCTCCCTTACAGCATCTCCTTAAAGTAGGTAGAAAAAAAATGACTGTTGCCGTTTTGCAGCTGGGAGGTGGAGGGCATGAATGAATGTGTATGATCACGTGACGAACGGGCCCACAGGATATTAGTTTCCCAGTTACTCTCCATCACTAATTGGACATTGTAAATTCATCCCCACGTTTGCCCTGAGAATAATCTGTAATCTCCGATTTTACTGATTCCTCTATCTTAATCATATGGAACAAAGTAATTGCTTTAACTAGTGTATTGAGCCTAAGAGAATTGTACCTATTAAGAAAAAGCCCTACTTGCAGTTAACGAAACAAGTGGTTTAAAAGATTATACTTCACAGAAAGGAATGTTACACTGCCATAGTTATTGCCAAGAGTAGTTTTTAGAAAGCATATTTTAGTAAAAATAATAAAAAAGAAAAAACAAAGGCCTTCAGTGTAAATTTTTTTTTTTACCCAGTACCAGCTTAGTGCGGGCTTTGGGAAGAGAGGCGGACCTAGAATCTAACCTTCTGTTTGACCTTTGCTAACTGATCAAAAGGGTGACTGGAAGGTTCCTGATAGCCAGAAACACCATCCATTACACACTGGTCAACATCCAAAGCTGTAAACACGAATTCGAAGCACAGGGAGTTACATGAGAGTAGCTGACAGATACTTACTGAGTATGAGACATAGAAACAGAGTGACAAGCAGGTAAATGAGTCCCGTGCCCTCAATCTAGTTAGGAAAAATAGACATAAGTAATCAGAGGTGCAACACAAGACGCAAATGAGGCCCAGCCAAGGCGTAGTGGTCAAGGCCTGACATTCCTTAATTTGAGGAACTTATGCAACTTTCCAGTTTTAGTTCCTTTTCTGCAAAATGGATGCAATAGCTGTACTTCCCCGCAGAAGGCTGAGAGGATGATGTGTGATCATCACTGGCATTTAGCACAGTATCTGGCACGTGGTAACACGCTCGCATGAGGGTTATTACCACTCCTTAACAAAGTGAAGCTGAAGCTCAGGTTCAAAGATGTGTACGCGTTAGCTAGGTGAATGACTTCTGGTGCCCAGTGTCCGTTTATACATTTTCTCTGATCCTGTCTGCTAAGCATTGTTCATGCAGAACTTAGGATACAGCCGTGAAAAGAAATATGAGTGTTATGAGCTACGGACAACAAACAAGGCATATTGTTTAATAAAGTATATAATTGTTAGATGGAGTTAGGTATAAAGAAAAATTCCTAAGATGAAAGGGCATAAGGACTGTGTGTGGGGGGAAGGCTGGAGTGGGAAGTGGATCTTCTCCAGGTAGCCAGGAGCACCTCCCAGAGGTGGAGGCAGTTAAGTTGAGGTCGGAAGATGCTGAGGGCATGGTGAGGCCCACACATCTCTCTGTGGAGAGGGATCAGTATATGCAAAGCCTTGCACAGAGTGAGGGAAAGAGTGAGTACCAGAAAAGTCTAGACCTGAGTGGTCCTGTACAATGGGAGGTAGTAAACCACTAGCCCCTTGCAGCTGCTGAGCCTTTGAGATGGGGCTAGCCTGGCCGGGCACGGTTGGCTCACCCCTGTACTCCCAGCACTTTGGGATGCTGAAGCAGGAGGATTGCTTGAACCTGGGAGTTCAAGACCAGCCTGGGCAACATAGTGAGACCTCATCTCTATGTAAAGGAAAAAAACGGCATTCCCTTCAGGTCCCCTCCCACTGTGGGAGCTTTTCTGTCTTCTCAATAAATCCTTCTTTCTCAAAAAAAAAAAAAAGAAAAGAAAAAAGAAAGAAAAAGAAGAAATGTAACTAGTTTAAAGTGAGATGTACTGTAGGTGGAAATAACACACAGGGCTGCAAAGACTTCGTGTGAAAAAAAAATGTGGAATGTCATGTTAATAAGTGTGGGCACCAGGCTGTTGGCCCCCTAAGGGTTCACCGAAAAAAATCACTGGCATGAAACAGGTTGATTCGTAAGAGGAAAGGCATATAAATGTTCCTTATGTATACACAGGAGCATTCGGAGTGAAGACCCAGCTTCCCAATAAGTTACGGAAACTTAAATACATCTCGGGTTACAGGAAGAAGAGAGGCTTGTGTTCTGGTGAAACAGATTACGGGGGAAGAGGAATTCTATTGGAGGCCAACAAATGATTGGCAGAATGAACCAGTAACTTGCAAATGGCTCTCCTTGGAGTTGCCTGGTCCTAAGAGTTCATTCTTCCTTGCCTGCCCTTGCTTTGTTTTTGTTTTTTTCTTTATTTTCTTTAGTCTGGCGTCTGTCAGGACTTCTCCCCTCCTGATAACAGGTGGAGGAAGCAGCTTGGTAGAGATGGGGACGGGTGGACCGGTCAGAGACACCTGGTGGCAAAACTCCATGTTTTGAGTTGTGCTTCACCATTGTTCTGTGAATTGCATGTTGAGATAATCATAAATTGGATATATTAGGTTAAATAAAATATACTACTAAATTAAGTGGATTTTTTTTGGTGTGGCTACTAGAAAAATTAAACCTGCATGCTTGGCTTGCAGTCTGTTTCTGTGGGGCAGTGCTGGTCTGGAGACTGAAGGGGCTCGAGTCAGTGTCCTGGAGCTGTTGTGTGTTCTTTGGCTTTTACTCAGGAAGGCAGTGGGGGGTCTGAAGGGTGATTTCTATTGAAGAAAGGCCAGTGAGCTGAGAAGAGATGAGATGGAAGAGGAGGTGAGAGATGACGGGATGGGGACTTGGGGCCGGGGTGGTAAGAAGTGATTAGAAAAATTAAGAATGATGTAGTGAGTTTTTATTAAGTTAACTTTGTTTAATTTAAATAATCTGTCTTTTATTTTGAGATGATGTCCTTCCTACTTTGTTGTGGGTAATATCTGTCTATCTATCTATCTGTCTATCTATCTATCTATCTATCTTCTATTTATCTTCTTATTTGAGTCAGTCACTCTGTCACCCAGACTGGAGTGCAGTGACACAATCATGGCTCACCTCAGCCTCAACCTCCTCGGCTCAGATAATCCTCCTCCTTCAGCCTCCTAAGTAGCTGGGATTACAGAAGCAGGCCACCACATCCAGCTAATTTTTAAAAATTTTTTTGTAGAATCAAGGTCTCAGTATGTTACCTAGGCTGATCTCAAACCTCTGGGCTGAAGTGCTGGGCCTCCCAAAGTGCTGGGATTACAGGCATAAGCCACCACACCCAGCCTATATGTATATATTTGTCATGAAATTACAGTGGTGGTATGTGAGCATTGTTTTGTTCGTTTTGAATGTTCTTATTTGACCAAATGAAAGCTTGGCAATCCTAATTCAGTATACACCCCCTACTCTATTTTTCTTGGGAATTTATAGATTTTAAATTTTAGGAGCACTGCTAAACCTGCCTAGGAAAGGTCAAGGTGTCAAGCAGTCCAGGAGAAGAAACTAGAGATGGAAAGCTCATAGACTGGTGAACATGTAGGAATGAGGAAGAAAGTGGAGTTTAAGATTGTTATCAGACCCAGCTGAAGTGTCAGGGAGGGGTGGAAGGGAGCGACCTTTCACCCAGGGTACAAAAACAAATTATCCCCAGACATTTGCCCAGATTAACCCATGTGGTAAGGATAGCAATGTCCACACGTACCAATCTCAGGATGTCAGGGACTGACCGCCTTGTGTTTTTCGTGAAGGCTACCAAAAAGAGTGTGAATTTAGACAGGAATTCATGGCAACAGCAGCTCTGTGGTTTTGTTGAGAATGATACTAGGACTTATTCATTCTGCTTCACATGGATAGGTCATTCGTCACATCTTTACAATTTTCGTTAGTATGCCTGGTTAGATTAGCTCATAGTGGGGATGGTGGTACCTGCCGATAGTCCCAGCTACCCGGGAGGCTGCAGCAGGAGGATGGCTAGAACCCAGGAGTTCCGGGCAGTAGGGCCCTATGCTGGTCATGGGTGTCGGAACTAAATTCATCATCAATATGGTGACCTCCCAGGAACAGGAACCACCAGGTTACCTAAGGAGGGGTGAACTGGTTCAGTTTAGAAATAGAACAGGTCAGAACTCCTGTGCTGATCAGCAGTAGGATCACCTCTGTAACTAACCACTGCCCTTTGGCCTGGGCAACACAGTGAGACCCCATCTCTTTTTAAAAATTCTTTTTAAAAAAGATTAGTTTGGAAAGATAACTTTATAGTAAGTGGTGAGCACATAATATATGCTCCAAGACTGTTTATTGAGTGAAAAAGAATTAATGAATAATTGAAAAAATAATGGGAAGAATCAGAAAAAAATTTGCAATTTGTGGTCATCCCAAGGTAATAGGTGCAAAAGTATTAGTTGTGGCAATAGAGGAACACGTTTGAAAAAAGCCACCAAGGGAAATCTTGGAGAATTATGAGCTATTCCACTGTGCTGCAAAAAATTTTAAAGGAGGAATTCATTTTCTCCTAAAGATCTGCTTACTTTTTTTTTTTTTTTTATTTTTTTGAGTTGAAGTCTCACTGTGTTGCCCAGGCTGGAGGGCAGTGGCACACTCCTGGCCACCACATCCTTGACCTGCTGGTCTCTGGCGATCCTTCTGCCTCAGTCTTCCGAGTAGCTGGAACTACAGGCGCACGCTACCACGCCCGGCTAATTTTTTGTGATTTATTGTAGAGATGAGGTCTCGCCAAGTTGCCCGGGTGAGTCTCGAACCCATGGACTCAGGCATTCACTCACCTCAGCCTCTCAAAGTGCGGGATTATGGGCTGAGCCACCGAGCCTGGCTACTTTTTATTTCTTACTGAATGAATATGGAAGTGCTGTCTGAAATTTTTCCTGGAGGAATTTAGAAGTTAAACTTGTAACAGTTCAGAGGGTAGAAAGCAGACTCTGACCTAAATGAGGAAGACCAAGGAAATCACACAGGTGACACCACGGATGTGGAAGAGGGTGTCCTTCAACACCCAGACCCTTGGTGGTTGCAGAAAGCCAACAAGCATGAAGCAGGTCTCTGAAATGGAAAAAATGGAAAGCGGATTTTTATTGTAAACTTTGCTTGAAGTAAGGAAATTGATTTGTTCAAAATAACTTTTTTGCTTTGTTTTGTTTTATTTTTTCACTTCCTTTCTTCTTCCTTCCCTTTCTTTCTTTGATCATTTGTCTATCACATTCTTAGGCCTACTGCCATACCTTTCTGCCGTACTTGAGACTGAAGATACTCTCAGCCTTGTATTTAATGATGCTGCATCTTTTTGTTGACACAATAGTGGAGGGACGTTTAAAGGGATTTGAAGAGGATACTTGATTTAATGTTTTATAAATTTTCTATATAGCAAGTCTTCCTTTGTCTTTTATTTTATTTTTTTATAATCAATATTTTTTATTATGATATTGTGGGGTACAATTAAGGGTTAGGTATACAAATATGCTTCGTTCAAGCACCCTTGTTGATAAGAAGTGTCTCCCCATCCCCAGACAAATATTTACTACCGTTAATCCCATCTCCCTTCCCCTCCCCCCCATAGTTTCCCACCACTGTCAGTCATTTTCTTATAGTGTTACGTTGGATGTTCAAGGTCCACTATATGAGTGAGAACATGTGATACTCAGATCTTTGTTTCTGTGAGAGATCACTCAGTATTATAGACTCTATTTCCATCCAGGTTGCTGTGAAATTCATGATTTTGTGCTTTTTTATGGCTGCACAGTATTCCATCGTGTATATGTACCACATTTTTAAAATCCAGTCCTCTTTTGATGGACAGCATGGTTGCTTCCAGGTTCTTGCTATTGTGAACAATGCTATGATAAACATGCATGTGCAGGTATCTTTTTTATAGAGTGATTTGAGTTCTTCAAGGTATATTCCCAGTAGGGGGATTGCGGGGTCATATGGGAGATCAATATTTAGAGCTTTTAGGAATCTCCATACTGTTTTCCACAGAGGTTGCACTAGTTTGCACTCCCACCAACAGTGTAGAGGTGTTCCCTTTTTGCCACACCCTCTCCGGTAACTGTTATTTTTTGAATTATCAATAATTGCCATTCTGACTGGAGTTAGGTGGTATCTCAGTGTGGTTTTGATTTGCATCTCCCTGATGATTAGTGAGGTTGAACATTTCTTCATGTGGCTGTTGGCTGCTCAGATGTCTTCCTTTGAGAAGTGTCTGTTCATATCTTTTGCCCATTTTATAATGGGGTTGTTTGTTTTTTTTCTTTTCGGCATGTTTGAGTTCCTTGTAGATCCAAGATGTTAACCCTTTGTCAGACCTGGAGTTGGCCAAAATAATTTTTTATAAAGAGAAGACCTAAAGAATCAATACAATATACTTTTTAAAAACATGTTTAAAAACATAAAACCAATTCATGTTTAAAAACATAAAATCAATTCAAGCAGTTGTGGTGGCTCACACCTGTAATCCCAGCACTTTGGGAGGCCAAGGGGAGAGGTATGCTTGAGCCCAGGAGTTCAAGGCCAGCCTGGGCAACATAGTGAGATCTTGTCTCTACAGAAAATTAAGAAATTAACCAGACATGGTGGCACACACCTGTAGTCTCTGTTACTTGGGAGGCTGAGATGGAAGGATTATTTGAGCCCAGGAGGTCATGGCTGAGGTGAACTGTGATTGTGCCACTATGCTCCAGCCTGGGCGACAGAGTGAGACTTCGACTCAAAAAAAAGAAAGAAAAAGAAAAAAGTACCACTTTTGAGTGTACAGTTCATTGGTACATTCACATTATTATGCAATGATCTCTAGGTCTCTCCAGAACTTTTTCATCTTCCCAAACTGCAACTCTGTACCCGTTAAACATTATCTCCCCAATTCTCTCTCTCCCCAGCACCGGGCAGCCACCATTCTGTTTTCTGTCTCTATGAAGGCGATACTCTAGAGACCCTCATATAAGTAGACTCATACTGTTTTTATCTTTTTGTGTCTGGCTTAATTTACTTGGCGTAATGTTACCAAGGTTTGTACATGTTGTTACAAGTATCAGAATGTCAATCCTTTTTATGGCTGAGTAATATTCCATGCATGGATATAACAGATTGTACACACTAATAAAATATACTTTTAAATGGCAATGCTAAAAGCTACGAGGTAAGTACAAGTTGATGTCCCTTGAGAAAGATGTCCCTTGAGAATGATGTCCCTTGAGAGTACGCCTCATAGGCGTATCCTACAGTCTGTAGAAAGATTTTGGTAAAGGAAAAACACTGTGTTTACCTTTACTGCCATAACAAGCTCACCACACAGGCTGCTAATTCTTTCCATGGCTGTCCAAATTGGGCTTCTCTGCAACAGTAATTGCTATTTATAAGTTTGTACATGGGTGCTTGGATTCACACTCTTCTCTAGGGTAAATGTGTAAGTTCTCCCAGGGCCTATCCACATGTGCATTACCTGACAATATCTTGGCTTGCAGAATTCACAGACTAAACCTTAATTCAAGATATCTTTTGAGATATTCCCTTAAAATTAAAAAAGCTAAAAATTGTTCAAAAGCAGGCAAATAAGCAAAAATTTTAAAAAACAACAGGTGTGGTGGCTGACGCCTGTAATCCCAGCACTTTGGGAGACCGAGGTGGTAGGATTGCCTGAGCCCGGTGGTACGAGACCAGCCTAGACAACTTGGCTAGACCTCATCTCTACAAAACATCAAAAAATTAGCTGGAAGTGGTGGTGCGCTCCTGAAGATCCAGCTACCAGGTCGAGGCTGCGGTGGCCATGAGCGTGCTACTGCACTCCAACTTGGGCAACAGAGTGAGACTCCAACTCAAACAAAACAAAACATAACAGAAAGTCCACAACCCTATGGTATAATCCTGAACTTAAGGTGACTCAGAATCAGTACCCCAAATTGGACTCCTCATCCCTGTTCTCAAATCTGCCTTCTCCCTGTAATCTCTGCCCAACATGTTGCACCATCTTGTCAGCTCCAAAACCAAGAAGCCAAAATGTCAGCTGTGATTCCTTCCTGCACTCCACCAAGAGTCTCCAAATCCTGCCAACTTTAAACTTCCTGCAGCTGATATATTTTGAAAGGTCCTTCTCTCCTCTGCATTCTTACTACTAGTGCTACAATTCAAGTGTGTATTGTCTGGTACCTGAATCACTGTCCATTTTTCTTTCTTCTTCCAGTGTTGACCCCTAAAATTCATCCTCCAGACATCAACCAGAGTGATTCATTTCACACACAAACCTGAGTCTCACTTAACCAGTGACTTCCCATTCACTTTTTGGATAAAACTCTTTATTCTTTTTTTTGTTTGTTTTTTTTTTTTTTGAGCCAAGGTCTCACTCTGTTACCCAGGCTACAGTGCGCTGGCATGATCATGACTCACTACAGCCTCAAGCTCCTGGGCTCAGATGATCCTCCCGCTTTGGCCTCCCAAAGTGTTGGGATTACAGGCGTGAGCCACTACACCCAACCCTTTTGGGGTAAAGTTTATTATGGTTGATAACACCTTAATCTGAACTCCTGCTGGCCTTAAATTTATGATCCACCCAACAACATTGATCCTACTAGTAGTTTCCACAGGACCATTCTCCTATCTATCCTTGCTTACCCCTGCCTGGCACAACCTTTGATCCCAGGGAAAGGAGGTGAAAGATCATAGTGACACTTCTAGAACTACACTGCCTGCCGCTCCTCTGTTTCCATAACTCCCTGGTTTACTTACCTGTTAAGTTCTATTGCTATACTAACAACAGTGTATCAAGTTGAACTATATGAAACTGCCAATATTCAATCCTTTATTACCAAAACAATAGCAATTTTATTTGGTCCTGCTCAAATATTATGCTTATTTTGTGTTTCTTGCTACTACACTGAGAACTTGTTGGGGTCAGGACCCTGTCTCATTCATATTTGTGTCAAGGTTCTTTCAAGCTCAGTGAATATGATCTACACATTACAATGTTGAAAGAATGAATGGGTTGATGAACTGCAGTGAAATCATTATTTCTTTTGCAGCCAATAAGTTGATGTCCATGAATAGATTTTTTTTTTGAGTCAAAGTCTCACTCTGTTGCTCGGGCTGGAGTGTAGTGGCACAATCACAGCTCACCACAGCCTCAACCTCCTGGGCTCAAGCAGCCGGCCACTGCAGCCTCAACCTGCTGGGCTCTGGTGATCCTTTGGCCTCAGCCTTGCGAGTAGCCAGAATTACAGGCATGCGCTACCATGCCCAGCTGATTTTCTGATTTATTGTAGAGATGACGTCTCACCAAGTTGCCCAGGCGGGTCTCGAACCCGCAGGCTCAGGCAATCCACTTACCTCAGTCTCCCAAAGCGCGGGATTACAGGCTGAGCCACCGAGCCTGGCTTAAAACTAGTATTTTAAGATTTTTATCTTCTTTTAAAAAGTTTGCGTTAAGGCAACCAACCCTCTTTCAGGTCCCCTTCAGCTGTGGGAGCTTTTCTGTCTTTTTAATAAACTCCTGCTTTAAAACAAACAAACAAACAAAAAAAAACCTTGTGTTAAATTCAGTTCCAAATAAAAGAAGCAAGTCAAAGTACAGAAAACAAAATGTGCCTATTTCCCTACCAAAAATGGGTCTATTACATTCTTGCCCAATTCAAATCCAAAGAATCTGATTATTTTAAAATGACTTTATTTCCAGCTGCTGCTATCATATGCTCATGTCAATTATTTTCTTGCTTTTTGTAGCATGGAATTGAGGAAACAGCTGCTGAATGCAGGCGACTGGGGGCCAAGGTCCACACCTTTGTGGTGGACTGCAGCAACCGAGAAGACATCTACAGCTCCGCAAAGAAGGTGAAGCTGAGTATTAGGTAGAATCATGTCAGGTCAGAGCAGGGAAGTGTTTCCAGGTGACCCAGGCTGTTCGTGATACATACCAACTAACGGAGGAATTGTATTTTCCCAATGTTATGAAGCTAGCTGGTGGCAGATTCAGAAATAGAGCCTAGAACTAAAGTTCTCAGATATTGGTATGTTTTAGAACCTTCCAGGGTGCTTGTTAAAAAATATACACTCTTGGGCTTCACAAAGAGGTTTTCTGTCAATAGGTTGAGGGCAAGGCCTATAACACATCCATGATTCCCACATGTTAGCACTTACACATCCTAACCACAGTCACCTCTACATGTTCACACCAAAATACCCCTACCTCATTTCCATCTACATGTTTGGGTTTTTTGTTTTGTTTTGTTTTATTGTTGCTTGAGTTGGAGTCTCACTCTGTTGCCCAGGCTGGAGGGCAGTGGCACACTCATGGCCACCATAGCTTCAACCTGCTGGGCTCAGGTGATTCTTCTACCTCAGCCTTTCAAGTAGCTGGAACCACAAGCGCATGCCAACATGCCCAGCTAATTTTTTTATTTATTGTAGCGGCGAGGCCTTGCCAAGTGGTCCAGGCTGGTCTCAAACCCTTGGGCTCAGGGAATCCTCTCACCTCAACCTCCCAAAGTGCTGGGATTATAGGCGTGAGCTACTGCACCCAGCACGTCTACATATTTACACCTACACACTCTTCTGTCATGTCTGCAAGTTTACAACTCAGCATCCTACCTCAGTCAAGTCTACATGTTCACATCTACATGCCTTCACTTTACTCATTTCTACATGTTTATATCTGCACACCCTCACCTCAGTCAAATCTACATGTTTAGCACCCTGTGTGCTCTCATCTCGCCCATGATTCTGATATAGGTAAACTGTCCTTGACTGACCCTGGCAGAATCGCTGACAGGGTCTTCGGAAGCCCAATCAAAGAACTAGGTTAGAAAGTTAGGATGAAGCTATTTTTCTTTTATCACATCTTTATACTAGTTGACACTATTATAAAGCATTATTTGCCTTTCTCTATGCAATTGAGATGTGCCATATACATTGGTGTTTCTCTTTGAACGCATTCTTACTTGTACGTTTAACCAAATGCTATAATGGTAGGAAGGTCATCAGAATCACCTGGCAATTTTTTTTTTTTTGAGTCAGGGTTTACTTTGTTGCAAGGCTGAAGTGCAGTAGCACAATCAGAGCTCACTGCAGCCTTGATCTTCTGGGATCAGGTGATCCTTCCATTTTAGCCTCCCAAGTAGCTGGAACTACAGGCTCCCAACACCATGCCTGGCTAATTTTTAAAAAAATTTTTTGGTGGAAGGTCTCACTATAGTTCCCTGGCTGATCTCGAACCTCTGGACTCAACTGACCCTTTTTGCCTTAGCGTCCTAAAGAGCTGGGATTACAGTTGTGAGCCACTACTCCGGGCTTACCTGAGCAAATTCTTTAAAACACACATTTCTGGACCCTACTGCTGGCTATTCTGATTCAAAACTATATGAAGATTATGAATCAACCAGACTTGAGAACCTCTTTTTTTGGGGAACTTAGATTTGACCTCATTTTTAACTTCTACTATTAAATTTTAGTCTTTATTTATTTGTTTGTTTCTTTGTTTTTGAGTCAGAGTCTCACTCTGTCACCCAGGCTTATGGCTGCAGCAGCCTCCACCTGCTGGTCTCAAGCAATCCTTCCTCCTCAGCCTCTGGAGTAGCTGGAACCACAGGTGTGTGCCACATGCCCAGCTAATTTTTTCATTGATTGTAGAGACCAGGTCTTGCCAAATTACCCAGGTTGGTCTTGAACCCCCTGGGCTCTGGCAATCCTCTTGCCTCCACCCCCCACAGTGCTGGGATTACAGGAGTGAGCCCAACCCCCAGCTGCATTCTTTAATGGCCATGTGACCCTGGGTATGAAACTCAACCTTTCTGTGTTTCATGTTTCTTATCTTGCAAGTGGGCCTATAAGAATTCCTGCCTCATAAGATTGTTATGAGAATTAAATGCGAAAAGTAATGTACTCATGTAAAAGGCACAACACAGAAAATCCCCTAATAGGCTATTGACCACCTTCCCCTCTATGCCCCCACTCACCAGAACAATATCTCTAAATAATGACAACTCTACTCATAGAGCGGCTTTTACTTGGAGCACAGTGTATAACAAAATGCATATGACACTAGGGTCTATTTACTCAAGAAGCTTAATTACTCAAAGAACCATAAAAATGTCAAGTAAGGCCAGGTGTGGTGGCTCATGCCTGTAATCCCAGCACTTTGGGAGGCCAAGGTAGGAGGACTGCTTGAGCCCAGGAGTTCGAGACCAGCCTGGGCAACATTGCAAGACTTTGTCTCTACAAAAAATTAGCTGGGCATGATGGTGCAAGCCTGTAGTCCCAGCTACTGGGGAAGCTGAGATGGGAGGATTGCCTGAGCCCAGGAGATCGAGGCTGCATTAAGCTATGATTGCGCCACTGCACCCAGCCTGGGCGAAACAGTGAGACTCTGTCTCAAAAAAACCAACCCCCCCCCCCCAAAAAAATATATATCTCATATAAGATATTCTTACATTACTATCTTTTAAACAATGGTATTCCAATCTTATAAAAAGTAGAACTTAAGTATCAAGATTATATTATCTTTCTTATCTGAAAGTACTGATAACATTAGAGTCCAGGAAATATGATAACTATTTTAAATTGTTTGATTCAGAGTCTCACTCTGTCACCTAGGCTGGCGTGCAGTGGCACACTCATGGCCACCCCAGTGTTGACCCACTGGGCTCAGGCGAACCTTCCACCTCAGCCCTCCAAGTAGCCGGAACTACAGGCATGTGCTACCATGTCCAGCTAATTTTTTGATATACTGTAGAGATGAGGTCTTACCAAGTTGCCCAGGCTGGTCTTGAACCCCTGGACTCGAACCCCTGGACTCAGGCAATCCTCTTGCCTCAGCCTCCCAAAGTGCTGGGATTACAGGCTTGAACTACTGCGCCCGGCCATAACTACTTTTTAAAAAATGCCATTACCTGTAATCAGTCCCTACTGAGTATAATCAGTCCCTACTGAGTATGCATAGTCTTTACAGTTAGTTCTGTGGATGCCGTCTGTTGCCCTGAGTGACTAGCCTTGTTTTTTTTTGTTTAAATTTTTTCAACTGAAATCATTCAACCCATGACAGCTGTAATATCCTTTGAAGTCTTGCCTTAAGGGTTTACATAAGCTCTTCCACATAACCACTTCAATTTCTCAAATAATCTTTCTGAAACAGTATCAAAGTAGAATTAATTATGAAGAGAAAACACACCTACATACCACACATATATATTAGAACAACTTGCATATGTATTTTTAATATTATTTACCTCATTTTCCACATTAAGTACCTTCATAGACACCTTCAAGGTCAAGAAGAGAACCTTCAAACATGTTGCTTGTAGACAGGTATACATGGATATAAAATAATGACATAATAATTATTGTAATAGTTATTTACTAAACTCAGTGACAGTTCTTTTACATTCCTTATTTCCTTTGTTTTTACAACAACTCACAGGGAAGCTGTACTATTATCTCTATTTTATTTTATTTTATTTATTTACTTATTTTTTTTTTTGAGTTGGAGTCTCACTCCGTCGCCCAGACTGGAGTGCAGTGGCCACTCCCGGCCACCGCAACCTCGACCTGCTGGGCTCCGGCGATTCTTCCGCCTTAGTCTTTCAAGTAGCCAGAATTACAGGCATGCGCTACCACGCCCAGCTGATTTTTTTTTGATTTATTGTAGAGATGAGGTCTCGCTGCCCAGGTGGGTCTCGAACTCCTGGGCTCAGGCTCAGGCAATCCACTCACCTCAGCCTCCCAAAGGCGCGGGATTACAGGCTGAGCCACCGAGCCCGGCTTATCTCTATTTTACAGAGGAGGAATTAAACTTTTTTGTTTTGTTTTTAAGTTTATTTTAGAGCTGGGGGATACAAGTGAGGATTGGTTGCTTAAGTAAGTTGCGTGCAGGTGAAGTTTGAATTTCTAGCTAGCCCTCTCTCCCTTGAGAGTGGGCCAGGTACCCAGGGTGTTGCCACATACTCAACCCCCTTCTTGCCTTTCTCCCCCCGGCAGGGAATTGAAGTTTTAAGAGGTTAAGGAACGTGTTCAAGGTCCAGCAGATAATGAGTGGCAGAGCCAGAACTCAAGGTTCAAAGACGCCACACTTTTCACCCTTAAGCCTGCTGCCACCTAGTGGGAGAGTGATGGGTGAATAGTCGAAAGGAATGACAATTTTCTTCATTCTGGAAATGGGCATAAGATATGGCCAGCTTAGCAGTGTACAGTTTTACGTAATTCTCCATTAGTCCCTAACTTTGCCAGTTAGATTAATTTGGCGGGGGGAGGGCTTACCTTTGGAAGTAGGGTTTAAAAACTAAGCTGGACTCAGTGGCTCACGCTTGTAAACCCAGCAATTTGGGAGGTAGAGGCAAGAGGATTGCCTGAGCCTGAGCCCAGGAGTTCGAGACCAGCTTGGGCAACTTGGCGAAACCTCATTTATACAATAAATCAAAAAATTAGTCAGGCATAGTGGTATATGCCTGTGGTGCCAGCTACTTAGAAGGCTGAGGTGGAAGGATTGCCGGAGCCTGGCATGTCAAAGCTGCAGTGGCACACTCACAGCCACTCCAGCCTGGGTGACAGAGTGAGACTCTGACTCAAAACAAAACAAAGAAAAAATATACTAAACGCTGCTTAGCCAAATGCCACTTGATCTCTGATCAATATAACAAATGTAAGAGACTAAATTGCAATAGAAAATTTCTACCTAGTAGACTTTCAGATAGAACTGTTTTGGACATAAGTGCCTAAAGTAAAAAGGATTTTTCCCCCAGGTTGACACATAGGTAACAAAATTACTTTTTCCCACATCTAGTAGAAAGACACATCCTTCTTCAGTAGTCACTGCATGCAAACCCAGCCTCAGACCTCTTCATGAAAAGATCGTTCTTATGTTACTTTAACAGGTGAAAGCTGAAGTAGGCGATGTTAGTATTCTAGTCAATAATGCTGGTGTCGTCTACACATCGGATTTGTTTGCTACACAAGACCCTCAGATTGAAAAGACTTTTGAAGTGAATGTACTCGCACATTTCTGGGTGAGTATGATTTTTCTTACAAAAACATTCCCCTTTGAAAATCCCAAAGATTCTATTTAAAGTGGAGCTTTCAGCAGACATAAGGAAGTATTATGTAGATGCTATAGATTTCTCCAGGTACCAGGGGTATTGTTATATGAGGGAGACCAAGAAAAACCCAGAATTATCTTTTGACCAGCGTGGGCCCCTTGTAATACACTCAGAATTTGTTCCTCCGGATCAAACGGTCAACCAAAATTTTTATCTGAAAGTTTTGATAAAGTTGCTTCACGATTTGCAGAAGAAACATTCCGAGTTGTGGCAAACAGGTGACACGATTTGCAGAAGAAACATTCCGAGTTGTGGCAAACAGGTGACTTTCTTCCACCATTACAAGGCAGCTGCCCACATTATGCTGAGTGTTGGGCAGTTTTGGACCAAAAACAGCATGACCTCCATGACCCTCCCTATTCACCTGATTTTGCCCCAAGCAACTTTTTTTTGTTTCCTCGGATGAAAAAAGTCTGCAAAGGGAAGCGTTTTGCCTATGTGAAAGAAGTGAAACAAAAAACAGCAGGCGTACATTCAAACGGATGAGTTTAAAAACTGTTTTGAGCAGTGGGAAAAGCATCTCAATAGATGCATTGCATCAAACAGAGAGAACTTTGAAGGTGACCGAGGTTTAAACATGTAAGAATAAATACACAGTTTTTAAAAAATAGATTCTGGGTTTTTTTTAGGTACCCCCCTTTGACAATGAGGTCATTTTTCATGCTGTGATAAAATTCTATCAATCATTCTTTCCCTCCTAAAATAATAATAGTAATAATAATACATTAAATAATAATAAACTTCAGGTGTTCTATATATTTTAATTCCAAGCTAGGCTTGAGAAAAAGGAAGGGATAAGAGGCTATCTGAGTGATCATCTGTGATTCTATAAAGGTGATCTCAGTTTGTGTTCAGATTCTCATGAGACTCAGGCCTTATGTTATTTCCCAGCCCTAAAATAGTAAACTATATTGTAAACGTCACCATTCAAGGTCATAAATTATACACATGGAATGTGTGTTTCTGAAGTCTCCAAATATTGACCACATAGCTGGTTCTTTAAAAAGTTCCTAGCTGGGTACGGTGGCTCATGCCTGTAGTCCCAGCACTTTGGGTGGCAGAGGCGAGATGATTGCCTGAGCCCAAGGGTTCAAGACCAACCTGGGCAACTTGATGAGACCTCATGTCCACAGTAAATAAATAAATCATTAGCCAGGCGTAGTGGGCATCCTGTAGTTCCAGCTACTTGGAAGGCTGAGGTGGAAGGATTGCCTAAGCCCAGTAGGTTGAGGTTGAGGTAGCCGTGAACATGCCATTGCACTCCAGCCTGGGTGACAGAGTGAGACTCCAACTCAATAAATAAATAAATGAATAGGCCCTGAGTTTTCTTGGAGGGTGAGTTTGGGGTGACTTGTCTCAAAAGAATATTGAAGTTGGTAGAAATGCAGCATTATTTTATGTTAATATTCCCAAGCTATTGACATCTATCTTTTATGCTTTTATGCTTGATAAAATGTGGGGTATTGTCTAATTTGTTTCTACATTCCCAGCCCATGGTGGATACTTAGTAAATACTTAGTGCATGATTCATTCAGTGACCATTGCAAGGTCGCTCGCTATTCATGTTCATTTTTTTTTTTTTTTTTTTTTGGT